GGCGCCAGTTGTGGAAGCACTCTGCCCGCCACAAAGAAGAACGCGATGTAGGAGGCATGGCTCTTGGCACTTGTCTCTTGCAGATTCAGAGCCACCCACACTCAGCCTCTTAAGCTCCGAATTAATCCTGGTCAGCCTCACTGGCATTGGGACCTGCTCCCACGCAAACTCACATATGTTCTGATACGCAGACAACAGAGCAACTGTAGAACTTGAATGCACGAATGAGGGCCATTTCCGCGTCTGACGTGGGTGGTTTGGGGGCCTCGTGGGGATTTGTTGTGGATCTCGGGGGCCATAAGAGTGGAGGGCCTACGGGGCCTCTCCAAGTCCCTCCCCTGATGCCCTCATGGGGGCGTTTTGGTCTCCTCATTACCCGTGTTGGGTTCCTCATGTAGGCCTCTGGGGCTGTTTGGGTCTGGTTTGTTGGGCGTTCGTTCTGGGCATGACCCAGCGTTTTGTATCGTGAGGACCTTCTTGGGGATCCTCTTGGAGCGTTTCTTGGCCACCGTGGGCCATCTCAGATTTCTCTTGTGGCGTCTTGGAAGAGTCTGGCACAAGTTGATCACAACTTGAAGAAGCCCTGCGGGGCTTACCGGCTGATGATTGCCCCTGTTGGTGTAATTGGGCTGCCGGCGGAGAGGTTGAGGGTTGGGAGGCAATCTCTCAGGCGGGAGTCGGCCCAAGGGGTATACAGATTTGGGCCTTTCCGGCCGACCCCCAATACCCCCAAGATGGGCCAAGAGCTCCCCAAGAGAGCTTTTTGAACGTTGTTGGAACCATCTTGGACCTGCTTGGACTCTTGGGCTGCCATCATGGGCCATCGTGGCAATCTTGGAAGCGAGTCCGCGGGTCGTTGCGCGAGGCCGGCGGGACGGGCCGAAGCCCAGTAAGAAGTTGTGGAAGGGCCAATCATTCATTGTCCGGCATGACAAGCACCTTTCGGATAAATCAACCAGGGGGTGGAGGATCCAGTGGCCTTCGGCCCATCGCGCAGCCCGACTTGGATCTTGTACAGGCGTTCTCTTTGATGCTTCTTGGGGGACATGCTGGGAGCCTTTGGGACGCCTCCTGGGGCCCTCTTGGGCCTCTAGGAGGCTGCCTGGAAGTCTCGTGGTATCTTGGAGCGACCGGCTCCAACTACAGGTCGAGATCCCTCTATGCAGTGGAGACCCATGCGAAGAAGCACCCTGCTTGCCTCCAGGGTGCCCTTGGTTTCTTGGGTTTTGATGGTTTTGCCCTGGAAATCGTGACATTCCCACCAAAATCAGTGGGCGTCCTGGGGTCTCAGGGTTGGGTTTCCTGTGGAAGGTTTCTTGTGGTCGACCCCCTATTGTATAATTCAGACAGCACCTGAGGTGTTTCAATGAGTTTGGCCTCACGGGCTGGCCCCTGGAACCTCCAAGATTGCCTTGAGGCCCTTCGAGAGAGCCCCTATGACACTATCTTGGGGCAATGTGGGAGCAGGTTGGCAGTTTGCAATCCGACCCACGCTCCCGAGGCCTCTGGCAGGTCATGCGAGAAGCCCCGAGACCGCCAAGAAGCGTGCGAGAGCGCCTAGAATTTTGGCGTTCGCTCCTGAAAGCGTGCCCAGGCAGTTGAACCTTCAGAGCTCGCAGCGGCATGAGAACAATGCACTCAGCGCCTCGTGGCACGATGGTGGATACGGTCCCGTATGCAACACGATGACATGCGCGTCCCATGACATTGACGTGTATCCCAATGTAGTAGGCGTGGTTGCGCGGTCGCACCATCAGCACTACCAGGGGTACCAAAACGAATTGCAGGAGAAGTATCAGCTTCAACAGCATCACTGCTGGATGCCGTCGCAGCACGATGTGTAGAATTGCATGTGTATAGTGGCGTTGGCGTCAGTTGAATACGCCTAGGATTACGGGTGCAAGTGCTGACAGAGCCAGTAGCAGCACAGGCAGTATTTGTAATAACAGTAGTCATTCACGCTTCGCGTATCCGCACCAGCCCGTGCAGAAACGCTCGCCAGACTTCTAGTGCGGCGTGTAGCTGGTTGCCTGTTTCTCCCGACGTGTCGCTGGTTGTCTACTTCCCTCGTGCGTCACTGGTTGTTTGCGGCACTGTACGTGTCACTCGGTGCTTGTTGCATTACACGCGTCGCGTCTTGGGCCCGATGGTTCAAACAGAGGGGATCATACATGTACAATGTTGCAAGTGTTGATTGGCCCTGTTGCGGCTTTTTGGGGACCCAATTGGGGCCTTCTTGGGTGGGTCTGAAGGGTCTCGTCGGACCGTTTTGGCCCCGATGACTCAAAAGAGGAGGGGGGACGTAATTCTAGACGCTTCGCGTATCCCCACCAGCCCGTCCAGAAACGACGCCCAGGCGAGTAGAGGGTCGTCCTGAGGGGCTTTTCGGCGTCTTGGGTGCCTCGGGGGGGCCTCTTTGGGCCGTTTGGGATCCTCTTGGGGGCCTCCTGGGGGCCTCTTGGGGCCATCGTGGGGCCATCTTGGGGCCTCTTGGTGCCTC